CGGCGGGGTTTACGCTCTGGTGCCGGGTCGGGACGCCCCTGCTGCCTCTCCCATTGCGACGCTGTGTTTGTCTTCGTGCGTCGTGCCAAAATGTTACTGCCATTGCTCCACCACGCTTACGGTTGGTGATGCCATTCCCTGTCGGGTCTTGACACGTCCTTGAAATATCCCCGTCCTGTCGTAATGGTTGTCGTGGCACATCCGCACTTCATTTCCATCACGAGATCCTTGTGGTGATCACGACGTGGGAGAAGGACGCTGGGAAGACATCGAGGTACCTGGCTGCTCTGTCGCAGGATCTCAGGACACCGCTAGCTGAGACAACTTCTGTTCGACGGCAGGGCTTCGCTTTCAGGGTATTGCAGCGTTTTGCATGAGGAAGGTGCCATCTGGCCTGCCTGCCGTCCCATCCAGAATGGTTTGGTCTTCGCTGCCGCCTTTGGTGGAGCACAAAGGGCGCGTTCTTCTGTGCCAAAGCGTTACTTTGGCACATTGTTGGGCTGATGTGACGCGCTGAAGTGCCGCCCTGGCACACTGCACCACGTTGCTGTTGTGCACACAGGTGTCTGTCTTGGGGAGATCCAGGAGCTGTCACTGTCTCACAGAAGAGACTTGAACTGCGGGGTGTCTCTGCTGTGACATTGCAACGGCATGTGATTTGGGCATCGATTTTCCTGAGCAGTGCAGGAGATTACTTGTGTGTCTTGTCCTCTCTCCATTTTTTGTTCTTTCAGGTCCATAGCTTACAGGATGAATCCGTTTCCATCCGTACCGCTTCCCTCTGGCTACAGCTGGAGTTTGTAGAAAATGGACCCACGTCAAGTAGTATGGACAAGGCAAAGGAAGAAGGAACATTTCTCTCACTGAGTCTGAAATACGTATTAAACTAGCTCAGGAAACCATGTTAGTTATTAAAGTAGTAACACTAGAAAGGGAAACCTTCCCTCTTTTTTCTCACTTTCTTGCAAGGGTGGTTTCAGCCCGAAGGGTTTTCTGTGGTAGTTCTCTGGACAAACCGTCTGCCTTGCACTGGAAAACAGCTTTGTCAGTGCAAAAAGCTCAGACTCTTCCTCTGCCTGCGTTTTCTAAAACATGGCTGTTGCTTTGTTCCATGTGCTCAAAAACTTGAGTCCAGAATTAAAGAGGGAGTGCTGGAGTCATCCAGAAATACAAACATGGGAGTGAGTAATTGGTCAACCTCAGTGTAACTTTTGAGAGGAAAGTTATTCTCATGCCTGAGAAACAGAGACTAGTGGAAGGAAAGCAGCTCCTGGGAAACTTGAAGTGAGATTAAAGGAATTTAATCTCCCTTTCCTGCCCATGGATGGGCGTGATTAAATGGCCCATGGATGTAGGAGCCATTTTCCAGCATCATGCTGCACTGTCAAAATAAATGGAGTTCACCACTGTGATCTTTCATGGTGACAAAAACTGTCACCAGCAGTAGGACCGTCTACACCTTGGCCAAGAACCATTCTTGGTCTGGATCTGAACATACCTGGTAGTGCCTCGGTGTTGCTGCTCTCTTTCTGACCTGTGTAATGCTGTTGCATTTTTTGCCTCCTGTGTGACATTTGGATTTGAAGTGTCAGACTACAGCTACCTCACCTTCAGACAAAATAACTCCACATCACGTGACATTGGCAATCAGTGTAATCAGGAATATTCCCTCTGTCATCATTTACATATTTAAGCCAGACCTGCCTTTCTCCCCTACTCCTTTGACTTTGACTCTTGTTTCTGTGGTCTTCTGGATTTGTAAATAATCTGAGGGATCATTTGGTTTCACACATGTTTAAATTTGGGTGTGGAATGGGCCATTTGTTTTGTCTGTCACTTGTTTCTTCTTTTCTCAGCCCAAACACAGCAGTGCTAGTTATTTTATGACGACTCCAGCTCACAGCAGTTCCCACTTGCTCTGATGCTATGTTACTGCTTCAGGGAAATAAACTCATGATTAGTTACTGAATTGTCATCCTGTCCTACTGACTATTACTTTTCATTTCAGCACCTGATCATTAATATAAGATCTCATCATTCCTGAAGTAATCTTGACATCTTTTCAAGCCAGCCCATCCACTGCTAACAGTTTCAGTCTTTGTTTTCAAAATCCTTTGCATGCAGCTCCTTATTGATCCCCGTGCGAAGGAGGCGCAATCGATATATAGATCTTTGTCTCAGGAAGGAGAGTTCTGCAGCTCACTCAAGACTAGAGGGAGTAAGTGTAGACCTCACCCTTATCCTTTTCGTGAAATCGGGGTTGTTTGCTTGGAAGGATTTATCCAAGAGGGTTTTGTACTTGGTCACATTCCAGCAAGGCCCAACAAAGGGGCATTGACACTTTCCCGAGTTTGGAAGCCGTTTCCCGGTATGACCATACTCAAAATGGAGGCTGTCCGAATCCTTTCTGTCCCCTTCTCCTTTCATTATCCCATAAACTCCTCCCTTTTCTTTTAGTGTGCACGGTCACTGGGCTCTGCCTGCAGCCAGCCAAAGTGGTCTCCGGTGGGGTTATTTTGCTGCTAATAGTCAGATGCTCGGGGATGGTGAATTGCAGCGCACAGCGTGTGCTCCAGCTGGACTAGAGGCATCCTCTTTTCACTGGTCCTGGTAGAGGAAGGAGCAAAAATTCCACAGCTGCTTCACAGATCCTTTCCCTTCCTCCCTCTCGGTCCTTCTCTCGTATGGCAATATCTTCTGCTGCCTTCCAGGCAAACCATTATCTTAGTGGTAATTATACCTAGAAAATAGCTGCCTCTCTAGTCGTTATGGAATTTGCAATATATGTGTAAATACCTGAAGGCACAACTCAGAACCCAAAGTCTGGGGTGGCTTTTTTGGTGTATACTTTGCTCTATTGTTAGAGGATGAATTTTGATGTGAAGCAGTACTATGTTTTCTTAAATAAGTCATAAGAGCCTTGTCCTGAAGCATTGTAGATGTTCTGTCTCCCACTGAGTAAGTGAGGAGTGATGGTGCACGGCTGAGGTTATTAATGGCTGAGGATCATAAAAAGATGTCATTGGTGACTGGGGGACTCACGCTATGATTTTCTTCTGCAGTCGGATGCTCTCAGTCACCCAAAGGCATTGGTTAATTACCTGCTTGCTCCCTACCTAGGCTGAACTTGATGAACAGCATTTCCATGTACAGCAGCCCAAGGAGCAGCAGATGTTCTGGGTTGTTTTCCAGGCCTCAGCCCATACTGCTGCCTGAACTTCTGACCGAGCACTGAATGCCAGAAAGCAGGTGCCTGTCCTCGGTGTCTACCTGTCTCACCCTTGCCCACCTCGCCTACCAGACTCCTTCGCTGCCTGCTCCGCTCTAAATTTCTTTGCTCACCCCTCTGAGCCTTCCGGATGCTGTGAGGCATTAGGGAGAAGCCAGCGTGTTGTGGCCGGCTGCTTCCGATTGCCTCTCCAAAGAGTGGGTCAGTTTATAAAAATGCTGTGTTCCAACAAGCATGATGTGTGTGTTTAGAATAATGGCTTAGGGTCAAAATCCTTCTTTTACATGCATATGTAAGCCATAAGGATCTGAGGTCTTAAACTGGTGAGAGGATAAATAGTAGCGGAGTGCTGAAGATAAAAAAGATAAAACGGAAACACCGCCATATGCAGTTAGAGATTGAGGGGAAGGTGATGAATCCAGAGGAGAGGAGGCCTGGAAGAGCTGTTAAATACACTTGACTAGAGCTCTTTTTGCACAGCGCAGCTTCTAATGCTACCCTGTGTGGTTTTTGTTAACTTTTGTTTTGAAATTAAATTAATTGCGTTTGCTGGTGGGGTTAAGTGGCTGGAGGCATGTTACGTGTTTAAGAGCGATGTCTCAGCCGTATTTTTCTCTTTTCTTGAAGGCCTCGGTTGGCAGGCAGAGTCCGAGGGTGGTGCCGTACCCAGCCCACAGTCTATGTCCTGGAGAGCCTGGCCTTCAGAGTGCAGCAGGTAGCCACAGTTTAAGTCTGCTTCTGTGTGTTGGTCTGGTTTCCAGAGGAAACAAGGCTCCTGTGATCAGCCTGTCTGTTCCCTTCTCCTTCCAACATCGTCCGAACCTGTTGGTTGATCCCCATGCCATTTGACAGAGGAGCAAAGTCAAATGATGAAAAAAGATGCCAAAGCTCCTACAAGTGTCCATTTGCCCGTTCTTGCAATAAGGGGTAATTATCCTAAAAATGCCTCGGGCGAAGGAAAGGCTGCAGTGTGCATTCACATGTTATGACATTATCGAATCCAGTCAGGAGAGACACAGAAATACTCAGAAAACCTTCAGATTCAGCTTTCAGTCGGTTGCGGGACTTGAATGTGCAGAGAACCAGGCTTTGCAATTTAGTGTTCACGGAGTGACTTCTTTCAGTGGTGTTCCCCAGTCCCTCTCACTCCTTTCTACCTAATCTCTTCCTCTGGCTTATCATGGCTGCACACACAAGAGGGGGTCGTCCCAAGCTTTGTTGCATCTGGAGATTTGGTCCAGGGTGGTGCTAGTATCCCAACTTCTTCTAATCCCTGCAGTTGTGTCAATGGGCTCAGCTGATCATCGACTGAACCTAGCAGAGATCCTTTCACAGAACTATGGTGTACGGGAAGAAAGGGAAGATGATGATGATACTCAGGAGAAGCAGAAATCTTTAGAAGAGCTGGAGAAGAGTTTCAGTGCCTCTCAGGTAAAGGCAGCAAGGGAGGGGAAGGGAGATTACCTGCTGGATTTTCTTGTTTGCTTTTACAGTGCTGGTACCAAAGATCTTTGTGTGAAACTCCAACTTGCTTGCTCGGCTGGCAATGCGCTGTGTTTAGGTCCACCCATCAATGAGTCTTAGGTTTGCATTTGGATAGGAAGGAATGGTTTTGACAACAGGTGACAGCAGTAAATTTTGGAGTCTTCCTCCGCCAAGTAGCCACTCTGACAAGGTGGTCTTCGCTCACCTTGAAGAGCCATCAGCTGTTGGGTGTATGTCCGTTTCACAGTGGAGGAACCACAAAGATGAGATGATGTTGTCCTCCTCTGGGTGGTCCCACGGAGGCCTGGGTGGAACACAAAGTGTGGTCTTGGTGACAGAGACTGTCTCTTCAGGTCAGGCACAAGATAATGTAGGGATTTGCTCCTTCCCTTCCCCGGTATAAATACAGTTCTGCTGTCTGGCATGTCTTCACCAGCATGAAATCTAGTATAAAAAATAAGTATATTTTAAAAATGCCCTTGACTGTATTGCTTTGGGGTGAAAGTTCCTGGCTTCTCGTATACCTTTGAGAAGAACAGGTTATGGTGGGGCCTGGTAGACCGTGCCTCCTTCATTACCTGGCGTTACCCGAGGCAGTTCAGAGCCCCCAGAGGAGCAGAGCTGCCTTGACTGCCTCTGCATATCTCTGTGTTCACTACAGCTGGTGTTGTACTCGATGATTGTTCCATTCCTGATGAAGCTTTGTCCTCCTCTCGCTCAGAGCAGTGAAATGCCATTTGAGGAGCTGCTTGCACTTTATGGCTATGAGGCATCAGATCCCATCTCGGAGCAGGACAGTGAGAGCAATGATATTACTCCAAATCTCCCAGATATGACTCTGGATAAGGTAAGAGCAGCTGTCTGCTTGGGTGTATGCTATTAGCCTGTGCTGTAGGTTACTGTACTGTCTTGGAGCTTGAGAGGTCTAGTAGCTCTTTTCAGGTGGGTTTGACCAAGGCCGGGGGAAGGGGCCTGCCTAGTTCTGGTGTCCCAGTGAGGGATGCCAGGTGCAGAAATTGAATTTAAAGAGTTTAGAGGAGACTGGAGAACGGATAACTGTTTTGAAAAGAACACTGTCAAAACTCTTGGGTAACAAGTCTTCACACATAGATGTGGATCTGTGGAGAGTCAGGGGAGGTTTGTATCTTCCCAGCTGAAGCTATGGCTCCTCCTGTTCTAGCTAAAGTCTGTAGAAAGCTTTTTTTTCCTTCCAGGATCTTTGAGGTATTTGCTCTGGGTGGACCTCTACAGAAAGGGCCACTTGCTCGTCCTCTCTCTGGCTTCCATAGGAAGCCACTCTTGGCACTTGTCGAAGTGCTTCCAGGGAAGATAATCTAGGGGTGGTGGGGAGTGTGAGAGGGAATCTATCTTTGGGGAAGCTATGGGAGGATGAGGAGATCTGTGGATGTGGCCACCTTTGGCCAGAAATGCTTTACTCTAGGCCTCACCCCCCCACCACTTTTTTTTTTTAATTTAAAAATCATTTTCACTTTCTTGTTGTTGTTAAAAGGAACAAATAGCGAAGGATTTGCTTTCAGGGGAAGAAGAGGAGGAGACACAGTCTTCAGCTGATGATCTGACTCCATCCGTCACGTCCCACGATGCATCGGACCTATTCCCAAACCAGCCTGGCTGTATGTGACGCTATTTTCTAAATAATTGGGTTTTACTTAGATGTGATGTGCAGAATAGGGCAAGAATGCTTTTCTTTATTTTGTCACTAAGTTTCTTGGCATCAGATTTTTCCACTTTCCTTCTGGGGGCTGCAAATAAACCTGAGTGCCAATGGTGTTACTGAGCATTGGTTAGGACATGATAGAGCGTGGATGAGCAGTGGGATGAAGAGAGAATTGTCTTAGCTGTAACTCATAACATTGAGAAAGTGAGAATTGTTTTGCTACCTGCTGTAATTGCAGTCTGAAAGATCAGTACCTGATCTGACATCTCTAGGAGTGAATAAATTCAGTAGTACTAGTGGTGTGATATATTGTGGCAGTTCCTAAATATTGGAATACGCAGGAAGCCAAAGTGCATGAGAGAGACTCAGCATAAAGTGATCTTATTCCTTCTGCTAGCCTGCAAAACAAAGGAATCTGAGCTCCCTGGTCCACACCACCCATGTGGCAAGTGTGCAAATTCTTTTATTTAAAAGGAGAAAATTAAAATATGGGTAAGTTGTCACTGAGGAGCATGCTGAAAGTAACTTTAGGACAGAAAATGAAGGGAAGGAGAGGGAACATAGAGCAATAGAAAAAAAAAACACCAAAACATTTCATAACTACAGATCTTTTCCTTTCCCACAAAGCAAACAACTTCCTTGCTGATGAAGACAAAGAGCCCTGTTCATCTCCGTGTGCTTCCTCCATGGCTGAGGATTCAGAGGAGGATTCCATCCCATCCAATGAGTGTAAGAAGGTAAATGATCTGAGTGCATTGGGAAGGGGAGCTGATACAATGCGCCTGAGTCTGAGGAAAGCACGACACCAGAGCGCTGTGGTATTTCCTCAAGAAATTTTCTTTCTTTTGTTTTTTTTTGCTCAGCGCCTTGTGTTTTGTGGAAGGCGGTGGCAGATACGGTTTACAAGAGGTTTTTTTAATACAGTCTTGAAATCTGTATCTGAAATTATCTTCTGCTTCAGATACGGAAAATGCTGTTGTGCCTTGGTGAATTAAAACTGCAGCCTGTAGCCCTATAAAGGTGAAATGCTGTGCAATGTTCCCAGCAGGATTTACTGAGGGGGAACCATCACACGAACGAGAGGAGCAGACTTCCAAATTCACCCTGGTTGTGAAGGTTGCAGGAAAGCTTCTGCATTTCTTTATCTCCAGCCTTAGCTGCTTGCCATATATCTGTAACATTAAAACTATGTAAATGCCTTAGGTCCCCAAAGTATCATCTGGTTGGTAGTAAATCTTTTTATTACCCTATAAAATAGTCAGGGTTCTCTAGAAGTAATAGTGACAGTGGGGACTACCGATATATAAATCGGCCTCGTGGTGTCGTAGTCCCGAAATCATGAAGTACACCTCAGTGCCTACGTGGAGCATTTTCCATTTCAATTTACCCACTTCTCTGTGGTGATATTTCAGGAGATCATGGTTGGACCTCAGTACCAAGCCACTGTTCCCATCCTCCACTTAAACAGGCACGGTGAAAAAGGTAAGGCGCCCTGCTTTATGTATCTCTTTTGGATGTAGGGCTGCTGGCCTGGGCATCTGATGGGGCCCTGGTTCACCAGTTCTGCTCTATGTCTCTAGGCTTGGCACCTCTCAGTGTTGACACCAAAATTTACAGCTACACCTGAGCTAGTTTTAAACTAGCCTGTTTGCATAGGGCTAGTAATACAGCTACAGAAGCTAAGAAGCTCAGTGAAAACTGGGTTGTGTGACAGGTTTGGAGGAGGGGAAGAGAAGGAATACTCTTCTGGAGATATTCTAATTTATTTTTCTCTGATGTCTTCCTTAAGTAGCCAGAGTTATTTTCATTCAGTACTCCCTGAAGCTGATCAGTTTCCAATTTGATAGAATGTCTGCAGAGTAGATGGAGGTGCCCTGATTTGCAGATTGTGTCTAATAAATAGTGCAATACTAGCACCGGCTTGTTGAGTTTCCGAACAAGATGGCTAACAGAAAGCCACGTCTTTAGAAATTACTTGCTTCCTCCCTAGTTCTTTTATCCTAACAGACTCTGAGCAAATTGAAGGAGATAAGTTATCAGTTTTCCAGGTACTACTTTGGATTTATTTCTATTATACTATTTCAGATGTATTTCAGAACAATACAGTTCTCGGAACTTTTCATGGTTGCTTTATCAGTGCTCTCAGCCTTCTGTATTGAAGACCACAGATTTAGTGCGTGTTTTCCATAACCTGTATGTTTGCATCGGTGTGAAATGAAAGGAAATTGATAGTAGATCCTGATGGGGGTCTTTTATGCCCCGTCTGTAGTGCCTCTGACCTGATTTTAGTGATTCTACAGAGCAGAAGGCTTGGTTCCTTTGCCTCTAGAAACAAGTTAAGTACAGAGGGTGCTAATGTTTTTATCCAAATAGAAAAATCTCAATATTTCTGATTATTTTTTATTGCAGAGTCTTTCTTCTTGCTTTCCTCTGTGCTGTTATTTTACTGAAACATCTCTCTGCATTGTTCTGTGCCTTGTTCTCATGGACTAAAAGCCTTGAAAGCTGAAAGGGGCAAGAATCACTCAGTGATGCAGTGTGCTCCTGCTATTCTGTGTGGGAGGAGCAGCTCATGGAGGAGCATTACAAGCTATCACAGGATGGGGACAGCCTTGCAGCTGCTTAGTTTTGTGTCTAGGACAGGGAGAGGGTCTTGAGCCTAGGCCGAGCTTATAGCTCAAAGCTGCCTTTGCCTCCCACTCCTTTTGTTTATTGTGTGCTGGAAAAGACACCTTAGAACCTAGGGGTTTTTAGTTGCCAGGATTAATGAATCAAAGCAACAGTATTTGAGAAAGTGGTAACAAAAAACTTGTCAACCAGCTCTTCTGGAGAAGTGGAAGCAAGCCGAGCCTGTGCTTAGGGCTCTAAAAGGGGTATAAAGAGTATTAAGTTTATCTGCCTCCAAAATGCAGTACCTTTGCAGAGGTGGTTGTCATCTCTAGTGCCAGGTTGGAGTACCAAGCAAAGATTTCTTCCCTCCTTCTGTCTCTCCCATGTACATACATGCAGACTATTTCTCAAAAGCAGCAGGATTCTCTGTTTGATTAGCTTATTTCAGTGCTTTTTCTGTTAGCCTATGAGAATGAAGATCAGCTGCTTTGGGACCCAAACATACTCCCCGAGAGAGAGGTTGAAGAGTTCCTATACCGTGCAGTGAAGCGGCGGTGGGACGAGCTGTCTAGCAGCAGCCTGCCAGAAGGAGAGATGGTGAAGGACAATGAACAGGTAAGCCTGGGGGCTTCCTGCAGCCTGCAGATACTCTAATGGTGCTGGCGTAATAGTGCAACGTTTCCTACAGAGATCCTGACTGAGAAACCCACTTAAAAGAGAATGAGACCTAACTCTGGTGATCTTCTGCTCCTGCTTCGTGGATAAGTGAGGGTGTGCTGCTCAGCTGCAGTCTCAGAAGGCTGTTCACCCTCCTCTTGGGAATACAGGAAAAGGCTGTAGCGGATCGGACCACGGGCCTGTCTAGCTTAGGACTTTTCTTCCAACACAGTATCGGATATTTGTGGAAAGTGTGTAACAGACTGGGCAAGTAGAGAATGGGTACTGTTTTGACTGTATTCTCCCAGTATCCTCAACTGTCTGAGCCAGAGCTTGCAGCAGAAACATCCTTTTGGATCTGTCCTCTATAGCATTGTCTAATTCTTCTTTGAAGCCAGCAGAAGATCAAACATTTGGCTAAGAAACTTCAGAGCAGTTGTTTCCTCTAAGCTAGCCAGGTTAGATTCTCAGAGTTAAGTCTGCAGGAACACAGAGGCACACCTGTAATCTGCAGACCTGCTGGTAGAACTGCGTCTTTTCAGTCCCAGGATTTGTAGTCCAGTGCCTTGAAAAGTGGAATAATCTATGCTGACGGTCAAGCTGGGGTTAGTGGCAAAGTGGCTCCTGGGAAAAAAGAGTTTTACGAAACAAACATGAGTCATGAGCAGGTTGGTTTGTGGTGTCTTGCTCAGGTACATGCTGTCAGTAATTTTCTTCTGCTTCCTAGGCTTTGTACGAACTGGTTAAATGCAACTTCAATGCAGAAGAGGCACTGCGGAGGTTACGGTTCAATGTGAAGGTTATCAGAGGTGAGAGCCTCCCATATTTGGGTTCTACCCCAAATACCAAGGCACACGTAACTCCTTCTAGATTCTGTACATCTCCTCCAATTCCTCTTTCTTTGTGCTGTAGATGAGCTTTGTGCCTGGAGTGAGGAAGAATGTAGAAATTTTGAACATGGCTTCAGGGTCCATGGGAAAAACTTTCATCTTATCCAAGCAAACAAGGTAAGGACGCTCACTCCTGCATCCCACTAAGACAAAGGGAAGGAGGCACGTGCATTTGCACCAGAGGTATGTTTTGAGCCTTGGCTAATGCAGGAAGTTCAGGACTGCTGAGTTCCAATCCCAGGCTTTGTGTTGACTCATGCTAGCAGGTGATGGGCTGTTCACTGCCCTGCTCTGCCTTATTTTCCAGGTGGGAGAAGTCACAAACACCACTGACCTGCATGAGTGATGTCAGTTAATTACTGATTAGCCCTTTCTGGAGTCTCAAAAGTTCTTTCCAAACTCTCAGCCCTTGCAGTACTTCTGTGAATGAGTGAGTTGAGCATGTGGATGTTTTGTAAAGTCCCCTGGGGTCCTCTAGAACGAAAGATGCTGTTGTAGGGAGAGCTGGGCCCCAGGACATATGCTGCTGTGCTGGGAGTTGGCAGAACCAGAGAGTCCAGTTCTACTGCTGATTAATTGTGGGCATGTTGACGCTGGCCAGTGAAAATGGATGCAGGTTTGCTCTCTTGATGTTAAGTGTGCTACTGGAAGCGCAGGAAAGTCCTGCACGAATGTACCGTGTGTGAACACACACTGGGGTCTGCAAGAACAGTTGTGCACTGTGGGGAGTTCTTTCTCTGGCCGATTACCACCTTGGAAATCTCAGTATGTGCTTCCATTCTGCAGCATAGATGTGTCCATAGCAATATAAATTACTGTAATGCACTTAATTTTCTGTGCTGATTAAATGGGAGAATAGTCCTTACTCCATGAGATGCGTGGCTTTCTGACTGTGATGTTTCTCCTCAGGTCCGCACCCGGTCAGTGGGCGAGTGTGTGGAGTATTACTACATGTGGAAAAAATCAGAGCGCTATGACTACTTCACTCAGCAGACTCGTTTAGGAAGGAAGAAGTACGTCCTCCACCCTGGAGCCACGTGCGTGGAATATTCTCACACTAAAATTAGTAATATTAACCTCCCAGTGAAGATTCCTGCTTCAAAGCACCTCCACTTAAAAGATTGCGCTTTCTGCTCTAGAAGGTTTCTTGGGTGGGAGCATGGAGGGGCACTGGATATACTCAGAACATAAACACTGTAGCGTGGGAAGGGAAGACAAAGCAATTATTTGCTTGGATGTGGACTTTCTTGTGTCAGAAAATACTGTTTTGTTTCAGACAAATGCATTCACAAAAATTAAGGCTAGGGTCAGAGATTCAGGGCTGATCTCAGGAAATAGCTCAGTTCAATAAGGTTTTGAGAAGGGAGCTTTTTAAGTTAAAAAATACACTATTTCTGGTGTTTTGGAGCTTGAATTAATTTCCTTCCCTGCTGCCACCCTTTGAGGCAAATTCTTCACTTCGAAATATATGCTAATTACAGAAAATACTTTTCAGAAACGTTGAAAGTGAAATGTTTTAAAAGGTCAAAATGAAATATTTAAGTTGAATCAATTAAAAGCATTAGATGAAGTCTTAGATTTTTTTTTTTTAATTGTGATGCAAGACAGGAAAATACCTGAAATCTCAAATCCCCGCAGGGTGAGAAAATATTTTCTCATCCCTTGCTCTTTGCTGGCACGCTAACATTGTCACAACCCACTACAGTCGTTCTATGAAGCTGGCTGTTCCCTGGGGAGAGCATTTGACCGTTTAGTTCTCTTTGGAAGGGGCTGAGGCTCCTAGAGAGCTGGGGGGCAGAGCTCTTTGTTTTGGAAAGCTACAGAGCCCATTCTGGTTTATCATGGGCTGGTCTTAGCCATGCTGAGTTAACTGCAGTCGCCTCGGTGCAGAGTCTAAACTGGGGTCTGCAGACCAAGAAGGAATCGACATTCATTCTAGTGAGGTCTCTACAGTCCTGTTGTTTTATTTGTTGATGGGTTTTAATCCCAGTCACCGTTTTCCCTGCCTGCATCTCTCTGCTTAACAGGTGGTGGCAGTGCTATCTGTCTTTCCCCACAGGGATTACACCGACAATGACTTGGATGTGGGTGAAGTAGAAAACACCAGTCGTTCTCGGAGCTCGCCACCAATTCCCTCTGCAACCAGCTGCCTGGATTCTCACTTCAGTCAAGATCAGATAGCAATAGAGAGCACAGGTAACTTCCTTTTCTTCTGTCTGCCATGGAGATAGCCCGTCTCCCTCACTCAGCGGCACAGACCCTCCTTTGCCTTTCTCCTGTTGCCATTATCCAGCTGTTGCTCTCCTCCCCACGCCTTGCCAGTGTGCTCACTTCGCCCTGTGTCAAATACCAGCCCTGGGCAGATTTTGGTGCGAGCAAAGGAGACTTGTCTGTCTCTGCATTGACCAGTAGTGACTTAAAAAGAGTTGTTCCTGCTTCAGGCCTGGAGGGGTGGCCTAAGTCATTCCCAAAGCAGAAGGATTTGCACTGACTTTGAGCACTTGAGTTAGGTGCTTCCAGTGCACTAACACAGAGAGACACTAGCCACAGGCAACTCCTCCGAAGGCTGATTTAAGGCACCAGAAGTCAGGCTGTTCCTGTGAACTGCTTTCAGAGAGAGCTGCCTGTGAGAAGACTCACAGGGAGCCCGAAAGGGATTCATTCCCTCACTGTCCTACTGCAGATGAGGGCTTTGTGTAGGTACCTCCCAGGGGCTGTTGGCATGAGGGGACAGAACTTCAGATTTGGCTTATCTTGAAGTGTCTCTGTGAGATTTCCTTTAATTTCCATAGAAACACTGATGGCCTCCCATCTGCTGTCTGCATCTTGCCTTTCTTCGGTACGTGCTGGCAGGGATCTTGGTTGCTGTAATAAAGAAGCATTTGTGCCATCAAACAAATACTGTTGTGATTAGGTGGGATTGAACTGGATTCTGGTTTTTGTATGTTAGGGACTCACTCTATTTTTTTTTCACTTGCTGTCCCCCACCCTTTCTTCCTCCCTGTCTGTCTGTCCATCTCCCACATCTCCCTCCTTTGCGGTGTGCAGAGCCCTTGAGCGTGGAGAGCACAGCCTGCAGCCTGGGCAGCATGAGTGAATCGGGGCAGGGCTATGAGTGCAGTACTCCCTCGGAGACAAATTGTTCCTTCGACCCCACGGAGGAGACATCCTCAGGCACCATCTCAGCTTCCTGCACGCGACACACTGTCAACCCCTCAGAATCGGGGCTCTATGCTTTGCCGCCGGCAGGACCAGGACTAGCAGAGAAGCAGGAGACATTGCAGAGCTCTGGTGAGACGATAACCATGGACTTCACTCTCCCTGCAGACATTAACGAGGGTTTGCCTTTAATTGCTGGCCCTGTGGATTTGGACAGAGACCCAGAGGGAGTGGTGGCCCCTGCGCAAGTGTCCTTATCGGTCACAGATTTTGGCCTCATTGGCATCGGAGATGTAAATAGCTTTCTGACTGCTCATCAGGCTTGCCCAGCACCTGTGGCTCGGTCAGAGCCTTTGTCACAGTGAGAGTGTCCAGTCACAAACTTGTCACAGACCCAGCAAGGACTTTGACCTGACTGAGTGAAATCCTGGAACTTCCACTGTTCTGTAGGGACAGTTTGGAGCTGTTGGTCAGAATCCGTCTTTCCATCCTCCTTGATCCAAGGCTATAGTGAAACCAAACACCTTTCTGCTCCAGTGTGTTCTGACACAATCACGCAAAGCTGGTGGCTGGCTTTAGTGAGGGGGGAGGTCCATCACCCCCTGTTTTGTTGACCATGTGTCACCCCGGGTAATGCCAGGCTGTTCAGAGAGTCCCTGCCTCGGGACAGGGGAAATGTCCCTTGGCCCCAGTGGGACAGTCTGAGCGCAGAGCTGCTTTGAGAACAGGGATGTATCGCCAGCACTTCGGGGGCTGGGATGGAGGATGCAGTCTGGAGGTCGGAGAGCTTAGGAAATCCGCAGGGAGCACAGTCCACCCGAGCTGCAGGGCAGTTTGCCTGCAGAGACGGGCACGGCGATGCCAAAGGAAGATGAGGAGTCTTGGCCCTTCACCCACAGAGAGTGTGTTGCAATAGAAGTCATTCTCCCTCTTCCCCTCCCAACAGCTATCCTGCGCTCCTGAGCTGCGGGTCGTCACACGCACACTGCTGTTTTCACACCTCTCGCAGCTCTGCGTGTCCTCCTGCCTGCTCTTCCACCAGCTGCAGGTGGGATGTGGCCTGGTCCAGCCCTTTGGCAGAAGAATCAGGTCTTGGAAAGGGATGCTGCGTGGTGCAGTAGCACTGTGTGCACTTAAGTCCTTCTCGCCTTCCCTTGCAGCGCTGGGCCGTGGAGAACTTGTACTGGGGGTAAAGGGAGTTTCTAGACCCACAAAGCGACGCTGGCCCCAGAGTGGTGCAGTGCTGCCGCTTCTGTTACTGGCGGGGGATGACTTGATCCTTGCTGACCGCTGTAGTACAAGAGGGTAAAATGCAGATGAAAACATCTGTCACTTCCCGGCTTGTTCAAACAATTTGTCAGCTGTGGGAGGAGGAGGTTGCTTAGCTCCCAGGACACTGGTGCTAGCACAGAGTCCCGGGCAGGAGAGCACACCAGTCCCTGGGCATCCCTGCCCCTTTCTGCGTCACAAAAAAAGCTCTCTGTTTTCTGAGAGGAAAGTATGTCTTCACTGCCATTAGCAATGTTTCGAGGAGGTGACGAGGGTGGCCCTGCATGGCAGCGAGGTGGCCATGCGTGCAGAGGTGCAGAGAGCCACAGTGGCATATTTGTGGCTGTGCTGGAGTCTGGAGCTGCTTCGTTTCCCGAGTGTGTTCCAGGTCTGGGGTTTGCTACTGGCTTAAATCCACATGTTCTCATTCCCCTTTTTTCCATGCAGGGAATGCTGCCTGCTGACTTGCTGGGCAAGGCTCTGGTGCAGATGTTCCCTTCCTCCAGCCATTTTCTGCATTTGGGAGGGGGTTTGCGTTGAGGTTTTTTGCTTGTTTTGGTAGAGGCCTTCGGGCTGTGATCCTGCAGGTGGTTCTGCTGCCAGTGGACTTGGAAGATGACTAAAACCATTAGCCCGGATCCTCCTTTTACCCGGCCCTGTGGGGTTGCGCTCAGCCCTGCAGCGCGAGCACGGAGACAGCTTCAGGCAGCTTCGCAGGGTGACAGGATCAGACCTTGTCTCACATCTTCCAAGCCCCAGACCCGTTTTGCGTGCATTAGCAGGGGTTTGCTTCAGTCCCCGGCCAGCTCTGCTGAGAGGTGCTGAGCTCCAGACACACACAGCTGCCTTGACCAGGCATCGCTTTGTCAACCAGGTGGTGTAACTGGAGGTCTCCCCTCCGGCTGCTCCCAGTTGCTGGAAACAGAAAGCAGATACGAGTGCGCGCTCCATAGTGGAACTGCCCAGGCTGTGATTCCCCTTTTCTGGGGGAAGAGAGGAAGCTCCTTGGCTGAAAGGAGAAGAGGAGGCAGGGTGAGAGCACAGGCAGCCCTCCCAGGGAGGGCCAGGCCTTGGCATCTCCTCTCCATCAGCCAAGAACATTCTTAGTTTTCCTAAAACCATTTTTTCTTTGGTTTGTTTCAAGCCCTAATGAAAGGAGAGGGGAGGCTGGGGGAGGCAAAAATGTCTCTTATTTATGTTCTTCAGTGTTGTTTACAGATTCGCATGGGGTCTTTCAACATGAGTGCGGCGCTTTTTCCACATAACTTTAAGGGAGAGGGGTGGAAAGGGCTGGGACAGGGAGGGGGAGTCACTTGGGGAGGAGGTTTGATTTTGGTTTTTTGTTGGGGTTTTCTTTTTCCTTCTTACAAAGCACATTCACTTTGAGCCGCTCCCAATGCTGGACTCTTGCCCCCTTCCCCCCCCAAAGCCCTACACTGTGAAGTGATACTGCCTTGAAGACCCCTCGACGTTATTTATTTAATTAAAAACCTAATTTGAAAGTGAGCCGGAAGCCTGTCGTGTTTTTGAAGACTGAGATGCCGCAGTCCTGTGCGTCGTGATGGCGGAAGCGAGAAAAGAGGTCCTTGCCTTTTCTGTCTGATCCTCTCCCACCCCGGGTGAGTGCTCCATGGGCAGGGGCGGGATGCCCAGCCCAGCGCTCGGGAAGCTGTCGGCAGCAGATGCTCCTGGTCCCTAAGAGAGAGGACGTCCAGGGCAGGGTGTGCGGCTGAACACCGACCTCGGGTCTGTCCTCGGGGAGGTGGTGGTTCAAGTAATGAGCCTGGAGCCCTGTGGGATCACGTCCTCCCATCTTGGGTGCTACGATTGCCTGTCAGAACAGCCCCGAGGTCCTGGTGCAGAAGCTGAACTCAACTTGCTCTCAAGCGCAGCTGCTTTTGCTTGGTGAGGAGCATCTTCATCCCGGGTCCAGCCCGCCCTGCCGGAGCCAGGTCTGTGGCGCACGTGCTCCCCACGGCCAGAGCATGCGTGAGCTGCCCGGGTTGCCTGTGGCTCCTTTCTCTGTTCCTGGCCCTGCCTGCCTTCCCCTGCCTTGTACCAGGGATGCCATCACAAGCTGCGGGGAGGCCCAGTTTCCTTGGCTGAATTTTCCCTCCCGGCGCTGTGCGCGGAGGTGAGGGAGGTGTTCGTTGCTCTTGGAGGTGCCCCGAGTCCTCCGAAGCCCTGGCAGTGGGAGGCGGGGGTCCCTCCACGTCTCACTGGCTTCAGCCAGAAATAACATCCTGGAGGCGAGAGAAACGTTCCCGCTGCAACTGCGTTTTATGTTTCCGCAAGAAAGCTCGTTCCTCACCACAAAGCCCCTCTGTTTTGTCAGAAACCCCTTAAATTCTGTTCCCCAGCTCTCGCCTGGCTCTCGCCTGCTGTCCCAGGGCCTTGGGCTCTGCATTTCTCCTGGCAGCTCAGTCGC